ACCTGTAGTCCCAGCTACTTGGGAGGCTGAGGCAAGAGAATCACTTAAACCCAGGAGTTGGAGGTTGCTATGAGGTGTGATGCCACTGTACTCTACCCAGGGTGACAGCTTAAGACTCGGTCTCAAAAAAAAGAAGACGACCACCTGGTGGGGGCACTGGGCGTGCTGTTGCCACCAGGATGTGTACTTACTCTTGGCCTCTTCAGAGTGGAGAGTATTTTTTAGAAAAAGAAAAATAAATCAGGCACATAGGCCAGTATTTCTAATTTATATAAAATTGCAAGATTTTTAGTCAAGTCTTTCTGCTTTTTATTTATTTTTTATCTATTTTATGCTGAAAATCTTGAACATAATTCCTCATTTACTTTATCCTAATTGCATAACATCTTAGATATAATGTAATTTCTTATTTTTATTCGGTTTATTTGGGTCGGAAAGGGTGTCGGTTTTAAAATACTGATGTCAATATTTTTAGTGACAAGTCTGTGGTTCCTTTTGTCCTTCAGATACATCCCACTAGGGGTAGGTAGTCAAAAGACTGTTTTTCAAAGTTACTTGAAATAATTATTCTCCCTGTGGTTATACTGTCAACTTGATACACTGTGAAGTTCATTGATTTCAGTTTGCTTTCGGTCTTTGAGTGTTGCTTTTCTGTGATTTCATGTGCTTCCAAATGAAACCTGTAATGCAAGGGACGTTCGGAGACGTTCAGTTTCCATCCTTATTCCTTTCTCCTTGTTCATTACCTCTTCCCACGGGGAACCATTTTTATTAGTACTAGGCTTACCCTGTTATTTAAAAAAAACAGAGACAATAGAAAATAATGTTTTGAGATTAAAAATATTTTTCTTTCTTCTAGAGGGTCACACTAGAGGGTACCACTCTCTAGCTCTCTGGGGTTTTTTTTTTTCTTTTTTTCACTTTCTATCATGGAAATTCTTTCTTCTTTAAATATGTTAGCTTGACCTTTTTTATGAGGCTGATTTTATGTCCATGTCCTTCTTTAAGTGCCTTGGAGGATGTAGCAGACTTTTATTAATTACTCCATAAAATATTGGGTTAGCGACTTAACCATGAGTTGTAGTAAAAGTCTTTGCTTTGCCTTTCATCAGAGAACACGAGGCGCGGCTCACCTTTTAAAAATTTCTCTCTCTCAGTCTAAAGGAATTCCTGCCCAAAGAATACATCAAGCAGAGAGGAGCTGAAAAGAGAATATTTCAGGTACTGGAAATGCACAGAAATGTATTATTCCCCTCGCTCCCTATCCTCATTTATTAGCGGGAAGGGGCCTCTGCACGTGATAGTTTTATACCTCATGGCTGTACCCTTACATAAGAAATGATTAGTGACTCAGAGTAAAGAAGCTGACAGTTCTTCTCTGGGCAGATTTATTATCCTAATCCATACTTTCTTTCTAAAGGTTACTGAGCCCTTCTGAGAAAAATAGGCACGTATTTAATTTTCAAAGGCGTTATCTTGGTAACATTGAAAGAAGGTGATAGACCATTAACATACCCCGATGGAGAAGGTACAAGTAGCTTCTTTGAGATTTTGAAGCTAGAATGTGAGAACTAGTGCCAAAGTTATTGGAGAAGTCAGAGATTTGTTCATTCTAGGCAACTGGTAAGAAAAGCCCTATCGCTATTTTTGTCGTGAAACAGCCACTCTAGTGAATCCAAGATATGAAAGTCTTCTTTGCTCTTGAAATGTGAATGTAAAGTACGTTATTTCATGTGTATAAAACATACTTTTTACCCGGTATTGTTAATGAGTACCGTCATGTATAAGCACGTATTTACCCTGCTTTTCGGAAAGTATTTGGATGAGTGTTAGAATGCTGCCTCTTCTGAGAAGAACATTTTTCTCTGCCATTTAAAGGGTTGACTGTTAGCTGTGAAAATCTGATTACAGTTATGGACCCTGTTCCTGCCACACTGCACACATGCATAGTTGTAAAATATGTAGGCTATTGGGGTTCAAACTGTGGTTTGAAAGCCCAGTGCAGTTGAGAGCTTTCTGTGTGCTCTCCTCCCTGGTCAACAGCAGCCCGTGTTCTGGAGGGGCCTCAGACACAAACATCATTTGCTGAGGTTCATACGCCTGTGCGTACTGCATGTGTCGTAACGACCTCCTGCCAAGTCTCCCTGCTGGCAGAGCTGCAGTAATGGTTCCCCTCCTACTGTCATTTTGCAGGAGCATAAGAACTGTGGAGAGATGAGCGAAATAGAAGCCAAAGTCAAGTACGTCAAACTCGCCCGGTCCCTCCGCACATACGGTGTGTCCTTTTTCTTGGTGAAGGTGAGTTGGGCATGGTGGAGAGAGCGTTCACCTCTGCCCCCTCTCTCTTCAGGTAAAGCACTTGCTGTTAAGCGTGGTTTGTCATATCCAGACCCCTGGCATTTGCAGACAGTGTCTGGCCAGCGCCTAAGTCCACCCTTCATAGCATCAGTTTGCACTTGTTCTCTTGAGTTTTTGTGTGGCGTGAAATTTGTATCTTGCATTCACTTCATCTTCCATTAATCCCATCTAGCTTCACACAGTCTGGTTTCAGTGATGTGCTAAAAAAAAAAATGTCATGCCTCTTGCTTGTAGGTTAGCAAATTTAGGATCATAAATAGCACAGAAAACAATATGTAATTAGACAGGAAGAGAAATTGCACAGCACATTGTAGAACAAAATTAATTTATTCTTCAAGGACAGTGTAAAGTCTGAGAACAACCTGTCAGTGGGTCTACCTCTAACTAGAGGTAGAGCTTCTTCTGGTTATTGCAGGGTCTTGCAGATTCAATCAGACACAATCCCCCATTGCAGAATTATTTAAGGCAAAACAAGAAAGTGGTTGAGATTTCTTTTCTTTCCTTCTTCCTGTTGCAGCACTTGCAACTTGTGTATACATCTTAGATATTCAGACTTCATTTTATTTTTCTCACTTCTAATCACACATTGCTTTTATTTTTTTGCCCAGTCCTCTTTGGTGAGCCATTTTATAATTGGTTTTAATAAATACAATCCACTTGACCATAGTTTTCCTTACTTTAAAAGTGGTACAACTGAAAATGTAGGAATGATTCATTATGAATCAATGAACCTAATAAATCAGATCAGTGGGTTACATAAGATGACATCCTCTGATCATCGTGTAGGAAACCTCTAAGGTGTTCGATAAAATTTACCGTCTTATAAAATGCCAGAATATGAGTGTTCCTGCTCAACATGATAGAGTATTTGTTTCAAACTTCTCATCAGTATTATATTTAACAGAAATGCTGTCGCGAAAAATCGGGATCAGAACAAGCACGCTCCCCATGTCATTACCCTTTAACATGGTTTTGGAAGTTCTGAGAAATGCTGTAAGATATAAAGATGGGGGAAAAGTCCTTGCTTTAGGAAACAAAGAGATAAAATTACTGTTACTTGTCGCTATGACTATCTGGTAACAAAATACACCAAATCATTGTTTGACTTTCTACTTTGAAAAATTATAGACTCCCCAGAAGTTGTAAAAACAATACAGAATCTGAAAAGGTCAGATAGTAACAAGAGTTGGTGAGGATATGGAAAAACTGAAACCCTCATACGCTGCTGGTGGGAATGTAAAATGATGCAGCTGCTTTGGAAAATTGTCAGTTCCTCCGTTGATTTAAACGCAGAGATGCCATAGGATGCAACCCTTCCACTCCTGGGTCATACACCAAAGAGAATGGAAAGTCTGTGTCCCAACAAGACCTTGTATGTGTATGTGTATAGCAGTGTTTAGCCAAATTGGGCAACAATACAAATGTCCATCATCTGATGAGTAGCTACGCAATCCGTGGTATATCCATACAGTGCGATGTTATTCAGCCATAAAAAGGAAGGAAGTGGACTGATAACATGCTACAACCCGGATGAACGTGCGTGAAACAAGTCAGTCACAAAACACCCTTCCTATGAAACGTCCAGAATAGGCACATCTTTAGGAGCGTGGTGGGAGGAGGAATGACAGCTAAAAAGTGCACAGTTTCTTGTTGAGATGATGAAAATAGTCTAAAATTAGCTGTGTTACAAAAAATGCAGACAGGTTTTCTGTACCCTTCGTCAAGTTTCCTTTAATGGTAACTACAATAGACTATCACAACCAGGACAAGGACATGGGTACAATCCACAGACCTTCCTCAGAGTTCACTGGTTTTACATGTACTTGTGTGTGTTTTTAGTTCTGTGCAATTTTATCACACATGTACCCATGTAATCGTCCCATAGCCAAGTTGCTCTAACATCATTTGTTGAAAGGACTATTCTTCCTCCATTGAGTTACTTTTGCACCACTTTCAGAATTCACTTGAACACATCTGTATGGGTCTATTTCTGGATTTTCTATTCTGTTCTGCTGCTTTATGCATCTATCCTGCTAATCATGCTATGTTGTTTTTTGTTTGTTTTTGAGACAGTCTCACTCTTTCGCCCTGGGTAGAGAGCTATGGCATCATCGTAGCTCATTGAAACTTCTAACTCTTGAGCTCAAGTGATCCTCTTGCCTCAGCGTCCAGAGTGGCTGGAACTACAGGCACCTGCCGTGAGGCCCGGCGAGTTTTTCTATTTTTAGTACAGACAGGGTCTTGTTCTTGCTCAGGCTGATCTCAAATCCCTGAGCTCAGGCAATCCACCCACCCCAGCCTGTGGCTCTCCTCCTAGAGTACTAGGATTATCGGTGTGAACCACGTGCACACCCCAATCAGACTATCTTGGTTATGTTAGATATATATAAACTTAACAGATGTGGTAGTTACTCTTTTCATTTTTTTCTTCTTTTGCAAAATTGTTTTAGCTATTTTAGGTCTTTTCTTTTCCATATACACTTTAGAACAAACTTACCTGTATCCACAAAAAAAAACTTTCTGGGATTTTAATAGGAATTGCATTGAATTTGGGAGACGTGACATTGTTACTGTGTTCAGCCTTGCAATCCACGAGTATGGTATGAGATCCTCCTTGATTCTATAATTTTCAGCATGTAGATCCTATAATGTTATAATAATGTGTACAGAATAATGTTAATTTTTAGATTTATTGTTAAGGTTATTAAATTTGCCAAGTAAATTGATCAGACATAGTCAACCACATGAAATAATCTTTTAGCATATGTATAAAAATAAAATCATTTGGAGTATGTGATAAAGAGATCACATACAGAACAGCACCAAAAGACCTCAGAACTCTATGCCAAAGGATAGTAAATTTTTTAAAGGCATCAATAACAGATTTCTCATATCCCAAAGTGAATGTAGCATTAAGTTGTGAAGGAGAGCCGTTAGCATAATTTAAGAAGTAAATGAAGAGTGAGTAATTGCAGTTTCTCATTCACTACTTTGTAAGCTTTTGTTAGAAACTCCAAATAAGTCAGTGAAATTACAACTTAACACTTAAGTATGGATATTGAACATACTTAATCATGCCACACAGCCTCGAGATTAGTCACAGATATTCTTAGGGCTCTAGTTTCATGGTTAGACCCATATCCATCATATTTTCTTCCATGTCTATGATCATTTTGTTCTAATTGTGTTATACTTGATGTTGTTGTGATAAAAAGTATTCCTGTGTTGGAGTTAGAAAGGTTGGCCTAAAATTCAGGGTGACAACATATACTTGTGTAAGAAATAGCAGAAACTTATGTGACCGGAAGGGACGTCTTTCAGCTCTCTAAACCTCAGCATCCCCATCTGACAAATGGGATGATTATTCCTTACCGAGGTTTCATGAAGATTAAGTGAGCTAATGTTTGTAAATAAGTGGAATACCTGGAACTGCCTAGAATATAAGGTGTTTGATATGTTTTAGATTATCCCTGTCACTTAACCATTCCCACATGGCCCAAATTCTTGGCCCTGAGAGGCTAGATGGTCAACCTCTTAGGTCTTGCCAGCCCTGGTAGTGTGAGAGCAGCCAGGGATGACATGTGAATGAATGGGTATGGTTCTATCCCTATAAAACTTCATTTATGGATTCTGCATTTGAATTTCATATAATTTTTACATGTCACAAAATAGTCCTTTTTTAAATTAAAAACTGGAAAATTATTAGCTCGCCAATGATTAAAGAAATTAGGCAGCAACTAGACTTAGCATTAGCCGTTGTTTGCCCACCTGGATGCAGAGAATGTCTGTAAGCCGTATAGTGAGGCCCCAGGGAGCAGCATTAGATTGCAGTTGCCTCAGTGGCTAAGCAATATGCTTTGAAAATAAAGACCTGGGTTTGGATCCGGGCTTTGCCACTTCGTAATTTAACCTTAGTTAAGTGACCTGACCTTATTAAGTTACCTTCTATTTCTAAACCTCAGTTTGCTCACCTATACGATTGTGACTTTTTATGGGGTTTAAATAAAGTAATATAGAAAAGGGGATGGCCTCATATAAAAGCTCAGTAAACGGAAGCTGTAAATGTCTCCATTCTTCCTCTTTCATTGATTTTGTGTGTGTGTGTGTGTGTTTCATTGTGATCTGCTGCATCAAAACCCTGTAAGCAATGGGTAAGGCATTTCCCTTGACCTGCATAGGGGCTTGTTTCATTCTAGAAAGTTCTTGTGTAACCCTTCTTCCTTCTAAATTTGCCTTTGAAGTGTCCCTATAGTCATAGCCAGAGACTTGAAGTGGGAAGGTGACCCTCTTCCTCTAAGGAACTGTAAAAATACTGCAGAGGACATTGAGAGCATTTCAGAATCATGAGTGAAGTCAAATGGATTGCCAGTGGTCTTCAGAGAGAGAAATGCCCAACAAGCAGGGTCTTTAACACCCAATTTTGGTCCTGAGCAGCCATCCCCTTCTGCCATGCATGCCCATAAAGGGAATAATTATATTGAGTACAGAGCAAAGCACACAAGCCAGCACTTTGGCCCATCAATGCGTAACTCCAGTGAGTGCACTGGTGTGCTGTGAAAATTTTTAAAGATCGTTAATTATTTTTGAAAGAAATTCTTCAAATCATAGTAAGTATATTCTTTCTTTTACTCGTGTTTTTGATCAACATACTTTTAAGTGTGCTCCACAAGTTTATAGGTTGTTCAAGTGTGCGGGAGATAAAAAAAAAAAGGGGTTAAAAAACACTGGTCTTGCGGCTCACCTGGGTCACAGGGAGGAGACTTTGGATCTAGGTTCTTTTGAAGTGAGGGGCCAAGAGTCAAAAGCTTAGTCTAGTTGCATACCTCCACCCCACCCCCCACTGAATTCTGAACCTCACATGTGAAGTACAGGTGATAGAAGAATCAGCCAATTTCCACACATGTCACAAGGGCCAACCAGCAACAGGCTGGTTCACACCTGGCCACCAGGGCTCAGCCCATATAATGGCTGAGATATTTGAAAGAGGAGGAGCTGGGCTTATTAAGATCCTGCCTGTCCTTGGCAGAAGGCCACCCTTCTCCTGCCTCTGAGTTGTGCAAGTGATAACCATCTTCAAACAAAACCAACTTAACCAGGACCACCTCAAGAGAGAAGTTTCTAGATAGCCGGCAAAAGTCATAGCCATATCATAGCCTGCTTTTGTTTACTGGAGATACAGGGATGCTGGGCTGTGCAGTTGAAGGATGGAAGGTTGGAAAGGAGTGGTGTGGTGTGGACGGAGATTCCAGGCATGGGAAGGAAAAAGGGAGTCTTACCTCGTGGCCTTCTCCTGACATTTCTGCCACCAAGGACATCTCTGCCACAGGGAAGACCAGGCATTGCTGTCACAGATCTGAGCTATTTGCTCTTTTAACTTTCTCCAGCTGCTCTGAGTTTTGTGGGTAGGCCCTGAAATAATTTTATCCTTTATGCCAGTCTCTCTTGCCAGTTTCAGTATTTTTTGAGTTCCCTACTCACCTTTTCCCCCAGTTGATACTGCTGATGGAACGTCCACTCTGAGTTTGATCCCTGTGGTTTCTTCTCCCAGTCTGGAATAATCTTGACAAGAATTAGGGCAATCTGTCACAATTCTGTGTCCCTGTACTCCAGAGCCCCAGCAGAGGGGAAAAGGATGAAGGCAACAACTGCAAACCGTATTTTATCTCTGATCCCCTTCCTGGACCCCAGCTGCAGGGCTTGGGCCAAGCCTGTGTGACTAAACTAGGCGCCCAGAACCTTTGAACCTAAATCTCCATGTGGCTCCTGAAGCTGAATTCGATTAACTAGCAATTGTCTGCCTGCATCATTTTCCTCTGTTGTGGAACTGGCCGTGTTTTGAAATGAGTTTGACTCTTTGTGTTTTAAGATTTGAGGTTCACAGATTCCTGATCCCACTGTGTTCTCCTGTGAGGAAGCCGGGGGTGTGCGCTAACTGTCTGAGGATTTATGAAATACCCATGGCTAGTGTGTTTGGCCTTTTATCTTTTCATTTCCAACAGAAGACAGTAAACTGTGGTGAACAGTCTGCTTTTGAAATCAGATCTTTTTGAGCTACTCAAATATATGTTCAGATTATGGCTTTCCCAGTCACTACTGATGATGTTACCAATGTTTTGGAGATGCTCTGAGGATGAATGGATGATGATGTATATTAAGTATCTGTTTTAACTTTCTCCAGCCCTGCTGTAAGTGTTACCCTGTGTTGGGTGTGTGTGTACATACACCTACATATACATAGTATACTTAGGGTGTGTATATGTGAAAGAGAGAGAGAGAGAGACGGAGTGAACATGTATTCCCCTGAGAATAGCAGTTTAGGTCTTGCTAGCAGTATAGGCCTCCCACCTGTTATTTGCTCATAGTGAGAAGATTCTTTGGCCGAGTTTTAGTTAATTTTAAATTACAGACTAACTCTCTTTTTCTGCTCACCGAGCTAGCTACTGGGATTGGTAATATTTGGAATTCACCCCAGCTTCTTCTTTTTCCCCTGGGTGTCTTTTCAGTTTTATCTCATTCCTGATTTTGGACCAACCGCCCCCCCCCCCCACACACACACACACTCACCATCCACAGTCTCTTTCCAGGAAGCAAACCTTTGTGGATCTTTCTACTCTTCCAATGTCTCTATATTAACTCCCATCCCATTAATTGAGTGAATTGTTCATCTAACTACAAAACCTTGGTTTTCCAATAGCCCTGCCTGTTTTAAAGCACAGCATATGCAGGTTGAATAAAGATAAAACATTGTAAAGTCCCTGCCACCTTAACAGAATCAGATGTTTTCCGAGGAAGAGCACTGACCCTTTATCTTCTGTTTCAGGAGAAGATGAAAGGCAAGAACAAGCTGGTGCCTCGCCTCCTGGGGATCACCAAAGACTCAGTGATGCGTGTGGATGAGAAGACCAAGGAAGTGCTGCAGGAGTGGCCTCTGACCACGGTCAAGCGCTGGGCAGCCTCGCCCAAGAGCTTCACGCTGGTAGGAACTGGCAGAGGGCAGAGAGGGGACTAGCATGGCCTTGGCTGATAGTGTGGGTCAGGAGAAAGACCAGGTCCTTGCCCACTGGGTTTCTCTGGCCTTTGGGGTCTAGATGGACTGGCATCGATGGTGTGAGTCCTGGGCAGGGAGGGAGACAGGTCCAGCAGTGGGACAGGCCAGCAAGCCTGAGTTTCCATGGCAGCCGCTTCCTCTTTTAATCCAAGTCTGCCTCTAAGTTCATCAGCTAGGAAGGATCACCAGCAGGGGGATTCTCAGTTCTGTGCTCCTGTTGACATCTTTAGCACATCCTGAAAGGAAGGTTTCTAACACTCCAGTGCCCACACAAGGGCCCCATCTCTATCTTTAACTGTTTTTAGACATTTCTAAGAACTGTGGCATCTCACTAAAGAGTGTTTTCCCAGCCCACCTAAAAGGCAGCACAGTATGTAAGGGAAATAACAGACTTTGGGAAAGTTTCAGAAACCCCATTTTGTCATTCCCAGCTCTGTGACCTTATTCATGTTACCTCTCTTCTCTGGGCCTTAATTAACTCAGTTTTAAAATGGTGATACCTATTTTTATAAAATTGCTAGGTTTAAAGGAGATGAAGGTGATTAAAAAATGATTAGTGTCAAAGTCATGACAAATAGGGAGAGCATGTGTGTGTTTCAAGTCTTTAGACCTACGAATTCTTCTTCCATATTTCAGTATTTGTAATATTTTTTTCTTTCCTATTCCTAGGCTTTATTTAGTTTCCACATGTGTAAAGGTTTTCCTGTTGGCTTTCTATTATAGGTTTTTAATATGGTTTCATTGTGATCAGAGAACATACCCTGTGTGATTTCAATTCTTAAAATTTTAAGGTTTGTTTTATATCCTAGGATATTATCATTTGGGGTGAATGTTCTGTGAGTACCTGAAAAGAATATATATTCTGCTATCGTGGGGTAGCTCAGATTCTGTAAATGCCAGTGACATCTCCATGAGTTGATGGTGGTGTTCCAGTCTTCTGTACCCTTGTTAATGTTCTCCCTAGGGATTCTGTCCTTTGCTGAGCGTTCTCAATGTTAAGTGTAGATTTTTCTATTTCTTCATTCAGCTCTGTTTTTGCTTCACGTATTTTGAAGCTTTGTTGTTTGATGGCTATACATTTAATATTGCTATATCTTCTTACTAAAGATGCTGCTTTATCATTATATAATGTTCTTTTGTTTTAGTAATTGTTTTTTGTCTCAAGTCTACTTTAGCTGATATTAATATAGCCACCCACGCTTTTTAAAATTAAAGTTGGCATGATATATTTTTTTCCCATTCTTTTGCCTTCAACCTACCTATACGCTATATTTTAATATTGGAAATGAGTTTCTTGTAGACAGCACATCATCCTGTCAACCTGAGTCTTTAGTTGGTGTAGACTATTTATATTTAAGCTAATTATTGTTAAGCCAGGACCTACATCTGTCATTTTATAATTCCTTTTTCTATTTGTCCTTTCTTTTTTCTGCCTTTTTTTTTTCTTTTTGTTCCCTCCTCTGGGTTACTTGAATAATTTTTAGAGCTCCATTTTGATTTGTTATGTTTTGGGATACATCACTCTGTATAGTCTTAATAATTACTCTCTATATTACCATATACATGTGAAATTAATTACAACCTACTGGTGTTGCTGTTTCACCCCTTTAAGTGAAGTTTAAGTGAACCTTATTTCCATTTAAGTCTCTTTACCCTCCCCATTTTCAAATATAATTTTTAAACTATTTCTTCTATATACACTAAACATCATGTAAGATGGTGCTTATAACTTTTGCCTCAAACACAAAGCATGATTAAAGAAACTATTTTGGGTGAATGGTAGTCTATTCTATTTCCACCTATTTTCATTTTTTCCCATTATTGCTCTTTCCTTCTTAAGGTTCCCCGCCTTCTGTTACCGCTTTGTATTTGGAGAGCTTCTGATAGCCATTCCTAAGAATTTGTCAGCTAGCAACAAATTCTTAGTGTTTCCTTTCCCTGAGAATGTTTCTGTTTCCCTCCTTCATGAAGGATAATTTTGCATTTGGGATTGACAGTTCTTTTAGCACATGAAAAATGTCCTGCCATTTCTTTTCTTCCGTTGTTTCATTTGGGATTGACAGTTTGGGATCGATAGCATTTGGGATTGACAAATGATCAGTAGCATTTGGGATCAATAGCATTTGGGATTGACAGTTCTTCTGGCACATGAAAAATGTCCTGCCATTTCTTTTCTTACTTCCATTGTTTCAGAAGAGAAATTTGCTGTCATTCAAGTTGGTCTTCATTTATAAGTAAGGTGTCATTTTTTCTCTGGCGGATTGTAAGATTTGTCTCTAGTTTTCAACATTCTTGATGTGGGTTTCTTAAGGGTTGTTCTATTTGTAGTTTGCTCAGCTTCTTGATTTGTAGGCGTATGTCTTTCATTAATGTTGAGAAATTTTTAGTCATTGTTTTTTCAAATACTTTTTTTTTTGGTCCCAGACTCTTCCCTCCTTTAATTCTGATGATATTAATGTTAGATCTTTTGTTTTTGTCCCACAGATCTCCGAAGTCTGTTTGTTTTTTTGTCTTATTTTTAGGCTTGTTTTCTCTCTACCGTGACTAAGTTTTCTCCCTGAATGACGAAATTCTAATGATCTGGTTTTAAGTCTGCAGATTCTTTCCTCTGTTATCTCCACATTGGTCTATCCTATGGGGTTTTTTTTTTTTCATTTTGGTTATTGTATTTTTCATTTGTATAATTTCCATTTGGTTCTTTTTTATGATTTCTGTTGCTTTGTTGAAACTTTTTTTTATCTGCTCCAGGAGAATTTGATATTGATTAGTTGAAGCCTTTCATGATGGATGCTTTATAATCCTCGCCAGATAATTCTGGTATCTGATTTGTTTTAGTATTGGCTTCAATTAATTGTATTTTCTCATTTTTTATTGTGGTTGTTCTGGTTCTTGATATGAATATTGGTTTTTTTATTATGTCGTAGACATCTTGTATTATGTTAGGACACTCGTGATCTTCTATTTTAGCAGTAGCCACTTTGTTCACATGTAGTGTGTAGTGTATTTTCTGCCCTACTTTTGTGGGATTTAGTTGCAATGATGGTTTCACTTTCTGAGCCTTTGCAATGCTATTCTGGACTGCTTTGTTCTTTTGACACTGCTGGGGTTTGTGTGCAAACCCTGTTGGTTCTGGCTGTGAGGGTGGAAGGCCTTTCCCTGGGCTGCCTGCTATTGCTGGGCGACCTTATTGGGAGGAGGCAAAAGCCACTGAGCAGAGGGCAGGGAGATCAGACCCACCCACAAAAGGGATCTGCTACAAAAGGATCAGACCCACCCACCTGCCTGGGCTGTGGAAGAAGGCCTGAGATGGTCTCGTAGGGGTGAGGAACCTGTGGCCTTAGGGAGGCCCATGTGGCCTTCTGAATCCCTAAGTATGGTCTTTTTACTGAAGCCAAATTTTTAGAACAAATTATTTTAATTAATGGATTTGTTTTATGGAGTTTGGACTCAACCGAGGGGCTGCACTTTGGAATCCAGAGGGCCACATGTGGCCTTGAGACTGCTACAGGTTCCATACCTGTTGAGCTGGAATTGGGGTCCCCAGTTACATCTATGTTGGGCTTCCCCTCTCCTGGTCCTTTGGCCAGAGAGAAAGCTTTTCAGGAGTTGTCTACAGAAGGTTCGAATGTTCAGGCCTCTATGGCAGGGGTCCTCAAACTTTTTAAACAGGGGGCCAATTCACTGTCCCTCAGACCATTGCAGGGCCAGACTTTGGGCCCCAGGATGAGTCGGCTGCTAAGCAGGAAAGGCAGCGGCAGCAAAAACACCCGGCGGGCCAGATAAATGTCCTAGGTGGGCTGCATGTGGCCCATGGGCCATAGTTTGAGGATGCCTGCTCTATGCGATAGGCAAGAAAAGTCAAGAACTCATTTCATGGTGGTTTTTCAAGTCTTAAGACCCCTAGCCAGTTCGTTGTTCCAGTTGTAAAGAGCCCTTTTCCATTATAGAATAAATTTTAAGATTTTCAGTTGTATTTAGAGGGAGGAGCAGGGAAAAACAAATCTATGTTAAATTGTTCCTGAACTGAATTTCTCAGCCTTTACAACTACTGATACATTTGATACATCTGATACAGCTGTATTTCTTCCCATTCTGTTTTTTCCAGGATTTTGGGGAGTATCAGGAAAGCTATTATTCCGTACAAACCACAGAGGGAGAGCAGATATCCCAGCTTATTGCTGGCTACATTGACATCATCCTCAAAAAGGTACATTGTAGTGAATGTAAAGTGAAAAAGCGAGACTGCTTTGATAAAATGCTCGTTCAGACGCTGTGGCTATCTTGAAATAAAAACCCTTACTTAAAATATCGCATGTGCTAATTTAATCTTCGACATTAGATTGCTCATCTTTGAGATCTTTGATCTGAAATCCTATGAGAATTTCTGATTTTGCTGCAGCACATATTTGTATCATTTCCTGGCAGGTAATGAGCAGCAGTGTGTCACTTAGGTAATGAATGGGCCAGCCTTACCCCTGAGCACCTTCCTCCCAGGGAGCTGTGTAGTGCTTTTCAGATTGAAGGGCTAAAAACGTTCGTTATAGTTTCCGTGGGGTATTTTTCCCCCTAGCCAAATGTGATGGGGTGATATTCCATAGTGGGGTACAGAAAAGCAGATTTCCCAAGGCTTTGATACAACTCTTACAAATAGCCAAGTTCTAATAAGTTGTGAATATGTACATTGATTTTTTTTACAAGGCAAACTTGTCTGTGAAATACACACAGAAGACATATGTCCATATATTAAATAACCTTATCTCTCTTTATGATGCTTCTGCTTACCCATCACTTATTAAATACTGAAGACAAAAAATTTGGGACGAACCCTAACATTTTTGCTTGTGTTCCTTCAAAATATCTTTACAGAGGTCCTTGTGTTAAAACCGGCTAATTGTTATTTATTTTTGCATCTTGTTTTTCTTGTGTTTTTTTCCCCCCCAGAAACAAAGTAAAGATAGATTTGGTCTAGAAGGCGATGAGGAATCAACAATGTTGGAAGAGTCTGTTTCCCCCAAAAAGTAAGTATTGTGGAGAGGGCTGGAGAACTGTCCTGCCACTAGATGAGCAGGATTGCCCTGCCAGCTCAGGCCTGCGGCTCTGACGTGCATCAGCCAGAGAATGTAATAGCAGGTGACCCAGTCCAGTCTTGCTTGTCCAAGTGTGGTCCCCTGGTCAACAGCATCAGTGTCGCGATGTCTTGTGAGGATGTCATTGAATAGGATGTGGTGTTTAACTCCCTTTTGAGGGAAAGTGAGTGTTCATGAGTCCTAGTCTGTACTTTAGATTTAAATCTCATGAAGTGGGTCATTATCAAAAAGCTAGAGAGTGAAATTCTGGGTTTTTTTTTTTTGGTAGTGACAGAGTCTCACTTTATTGCCCTTGGTAGAGTGCTGTGACATCACAGCTCACAGCAGCCTCCAACTTCTGGGCTTAAGCAATTCTCTTGCCTCAGCCTCCTGAGTAGCTGGGACTACAGATGCCCACCGTAGCGCCTGACTAGTTTTTGGTTGCAGTTCGGCTGGGGCCGGGTTTGAACCCATGACCCTTGGTATTTGGGGCTAGTGCCCTACTCACTGAGCCACAGGTGCTGCCCTGAACTTCTGTTTGATACTGGCCCTGTTATGGGTAGGTGCCGGGGTGCAGCCAGTGGAGGACTTGTTGTCTATAAAGTACTTGCTGCATGCCCTTCCTGTCTCACCCGCTGTGAGGCAGTATGGGGAGCGATAAAGAACGTGTACTCTGGAGCCAGGCTTCCTGAGCTCAAATCTCAGCTCCGTTTAACCTTCATTTAAATCTGGAGGTTAACCAGAAAGATCACCTATATTTCTGTCTAACAAGGGTACAAGTGAACTTTTCTAGAAATAGAATGTAAATGTTTTGACACAATGACTATGCAAATGACATGAAATTTATGTGAACCAGCTTGATGAAAGTATTTCAAAATGTATATGAAAACACTACACTGTACCCCGTTTGCATTAATGTATAGAGCTATCATTTAATAATAAAAAAAAATCTGGACCATCATTATTATAGGAAATCTGTTTTCTATTTTATAAGGACAAACCAATGGCATAATATTGTGAACCTATTAAATGGATAAATTGGGAATCATTATGGGCATTACTGATGGTAACAAGATGCACCTCAGGGTTCTTCTTCTAAGCATTTTAGTGCTGGGTCTTTATTCCCAATTCTCCATCTGTGTGTGCTGCTTTGAATTGACCTCCATGGTGCAAAGCAGTGACCATATGTGATATCCATGGTGTCCTATCATTATGCTCCACACGGGTGACCTAACTGCCTTGCCTGCAGGTCCACCATCTTACAGCAACAGTTCAACCGAACCGGGAAGGCAGAGCATGGCTCAGTAGCGCTGCCAGCTGTGATGCGCTCGGGCTCCAGCGGGCCCGAGACCTTCAATGTTGGCAGTATGCCCTCGCCACAGCAGCAGGTCATGGTTGGGCAGATGCACCGAGGCCACATGCCGCCACTGGTGAGGCTCCTGTGTGTGTACCCTGCTCCTTAGTGTGCTGTCTGGGGTGTGGGGGGTTTGCGGGGGCCACTCTCTAGCTCCTGTCTGAGCCGTGGCTCCCTCACTTAGCTGTGCGTGCTTTGGATGACTGATTGTTGCCTGTCTGGAATCAGAAATATCCTCTGAGGCTGGAGAATTAGGGACCTCTCAACATGACTTTGATGGAGGGACAGAGCCCCGTCTCCTTGCCCTACCCTGGCAGCATCAAGCAGATCGGTCCAGGTACCCCTTGGAGAATCAGAGAGATAGACCAGGTGCAGAGAGACAGTGATCACAACATTTACCCCAGGGTCCATGATTTCATTCCCTGTGTTGTTCTGTCTTTGGGCCTACCTGGGGCCTGTCTCAGGAATCCCTTGCTATTGGGGAAGAACTTTTTAACACATAAGAGCCTCCAAGCTCAAAAATAATTTGATTCTGCAAAAGCAGGTGAACTGTAGGTTTGGGTGGGATCCTTAACTATTTATCAGAGAGTGTTCTCTTTTAACACTCAGATTTTCCTGTGCATGAGATCTTTAGTCCTTAGTACTCAAGAATGAGATCCCCTTAGTTCCCCTGCAAGGACTCTTCCAAGCCTTCTTGTCAGCTAATTAAGCTCTCCACATGCTCGTGATTATAATCCCTCTATCGCAATCACCTTCATTTTGTATTCTATTAATATAATGCAATATCTATTTCTGGCCTCCAGGTTGAAGTGAGAGATGGTTCAGGCGCTGATGAAATGCAGCCTGGGCTGTTTTGTCTTGAGTCCTTAGTTCTGTTTTGCCCTGTTCTGCATAAAGGGCCCTGTTAGCCCTGGGGGTGCGGTCTGACTGCCTTGTGTTCATCTGCCCTTGCAGACCTCAGCCCAGCAGGCCCTTATGGGGACCATCAACACGAGCATGCATGCTGTCCAGCAGGCCCAGGAGGACCTCGGCGAGCTCGACTCACTGCCACCTCTCGGCCAGGATATGGTAAATATTCTTCAGTAGTCTTTGTTCCACAGCTCTGCCCTGGTGAAAAACAGGGCTCTGCGCTCTGCATTCAACTAGATGGATCTTTCTCCAGCTAGGTGAGGTGGACCCATTTTTCCCCAAGATACTGAGTGTCCCTCAATGCACACACACAGGAGAGAATCATAGGGTGCTACAGGCTGTTGGCAGTACCATAGGAGGGCTGAGAACTTGGGCCCTAGACGAATGTGATCTGGGCTGGCATCCCAGCTCCAGCACTCACCGGCTATGTGAATCTGGGCCACTTACCCTTTCTAAGCCTGCATTTTGTCATCTGTACATAGGCTTGTTGTGGAGACTCAATTGTCTGATCATGTGTAGAGTGCTTAGCACAGTACCTCAATGGTCTGATCATGCGTAGAGTGCTTAGCACAGTACCTAGCACACAGTGAGTGCTCAATAGCATTAAGTGTTTTTGTTATTATTACTGCCTGTGGTTCTCAAACTTTACCGTGCATGAGAATCATCTGCAGGGCTTGTTAAAACACACAGTTGGGAAATTGTTCCCTGTTTTTTCCTACTCAGTATATCCAGGAGAGGCCTGAGAATTTGTATTTCCGAGGTCTCAGGTGATGCTGATGCTGCCTGTGGGCGCCATTCTTTGAGAACCACTGGGTGACTACGATTGAACTTTTTGGCAGGGCAGGGGAATTGGCTCAGTGGTAACTCAGTGGTTCTCAACCTTCCTAATGCTGCAATGTATTTTCATTGTTAAAAAGGGGTCGTGACCCACAGGCTGAGAACCGCTGCAGCTGCTGCCTCAAATCATCATGGTCCACAGACCAGCAGCATTGGCAATACCTGAGATATTGTGAGAGGTGCACAATCTTAGGCCTTGCCCCAATCTACTGGCTCGGAATCTGCATTTTAGCGAGGTCCTCAGCTGCTTCATGTGCACAACCCATTTTTTAATTTTTTGCATAACTTTCTGACAAGCTCCCAGTATGTCAGTATCTGCAGCAGTGACTAACTCTGTGTACTATGTAGTAACAGATACATACCCTCAGGAGACAGACAGGTGTGAAAAATCAGAACTTGGGAATGACCTTGAGCAGTAGGCTATAAATAACCCCCACGTCACTACCATTCCAATAATGGAATGTGGGGCATAGGTTGGGTAATGTTTGAGCTGTGCTGGGTAGCTGTCATTCTCAATTTTGCCTGGCACATTAGAATCACCTGAGGAGCTTCAAAAACAAAACCTGAGGCCCCAGTTCAGACTAAATAAGTTGATGTCACTATGGGTCTGGCCTTAGTGGTTTTAATTTTTTTTTTTTTTAAGCAGTTTTTGGCCAGGGCTAGGTTTGAACCAGCCACCTCCGGCATATGGGGCTGGCGCCCTACTCCTTTGAGCCACAGGTGCCGCCCAGTGGTTTAATTTTTTCCAGGTGATTCTTAGGGACAGTCAGGGTGGAAAACCACTGCTGTAGGACTGACTGGTACCGTGACAGAGACCAGAACAACAATACAACCTGTAGCCTTGTTCAGGGTAACTGGCCTCAAATTCTCCCTGAATCCTGGGTTTTTCCTTTGCGTATTTGTGTGCATGGAGTTTGCTGGTCCCCTCCATGCTGTTTCTATAAAGAACCTGAAATCACTAAACATTTTGCTTTGGGGAACTTCAGGGTGAAACTCTGTCTGGCAGACTCCCATAGGCAGTACAATTGTGAGGTGGTGTTTTAAAACATTCCTGCCTCATCAATTTTCAGAGAATTAGAATGCAGTAAAATATTATTAGCACTAGACATTCCCCAATCTAGGTCAATATTTTGAGGATGTTTTGGGAAGCAAGTCATCACCTTACTGCAAGGTCATCATTATCCACAAAAAATGATGATTTATTAGCCACGTCCTGGAATGCCGGAACATCAAGATTTGCTTTTTACTATGTATAGGTTGAAATGAACATAAAATATGAGAACTAGAAAGGGTTTTTAAAAAGGTTGAATTCCCATAGTGGAAGAAATGTAAGTCACGGGACTTGGATATAATATAACAAATTGTATCACTTGTGAGCGACAGAACTGGATCCAGAACTTGGGGTCCCAGCCCATCCCCAGACTCAGGAAAGGCAATTCATGTTGTAAATAAGAGACACTTCCAGCATCGACAGAGAGCACTTGTGAACTGAAACACCCTAATTCTAACCCTGTTCTCTAACAAGCAAGGTGAAAATTAGCAACAACTGTTAGTGCTAATATGCAGTGGAGACACTGATTCTTCTCATTCTTTTTCCGTTGAATTTAAATTACCACGTAGAATTTTTCTTCCTAAATTCTTCAAAATTAAAAATAAAAACAACACAGGTAGTGTCAGACACGCCATTCAGCATCTTTGAGTTAGCAAGAGGCCTCTAAAGGATATTGTTTAAGATGAATTAAGGGCCCTGTCAGAGCCAGTGTAGTAAGAATAGTATAGCCAGGGTCAGGGTATGGGGGCTCACACCTGTAATTCTAGCACTGTAGGAGTTGGACACCAACCTGAGCCAGAGCGAGACCCCCATCTCTAAAAATAGTCGAGCCTGGGCAGCGCCTGTGGCTCGAAGGAGTAGGGTGCCAGCCCTATATACTGGAGGTAGAGAGTTCAAACCCAGCCCCAGCAAAAAAAAAGAAAAAAAAACTGCTTAAAATAGCCAGGCCTATAGTCCCAGATACTCAGAAGGCCGAGGCAAGAGAATTGCTTGAGCCCAAGCAATTGGGCTTGGTTGCTGTGAGCTATGACACCATAGCATTTTACCAAGGGTGACAAAGTGAGACTGTCTCAAAAAAAAAAAAAAAAAAAAATGTGCAGCCACACAAGCTCTTGATTTTGATGACAGGGCTTCTCTGGTCTCCTGGGTAATTCTGTGCTGTGATTGTGTCATGTTGTTGTCTGGCTTTGCAGGCGTCCAGGGTGTGGGTTCAGAACAAAGTCGACGAATCCAAACACGAAATCCATTCTCAAGTTGATGCGATCACGGCTGGAACGGCTTCAGTTGTTAACCTCACGGCTGGTAAGTCCCTGAGAGATTTGTGGTGTACTGTGGTTTTGTTTAAAAAAAAAAAAATTACAAACAAATTAAGTCCTTACTTGTTGATTGAAATAATGGATTGTCATCTTAGGAGAGGGGATAGTCTATTTTTAGGTACTTGGAGTGCTTCAGACATTTTCTCCCCGTGACCCAGGAGAAATGTAAGGAGCGTACGTTCCGTCTTGTCTGTATCAGACATCATCCCTGAAAAATCACGCACTTAGCTCTTCTGTTGTCAGCATCCTGGACACGCTTTGGCGTCTGTTGGCCAGCTTCTGCTTGCTGGGAGTTTTCAGTCTAAAAATGGTTTTGAGTGAACAGGCGCATGTGCCCTTGTCCATCTTGCCCAGCACTGGTCTCCAGAGTGGCTCCCAGCCTTGCACTATCAGGCGGGAGCTGAGAACTCTCGTGGCTTCACCCTGCAGCATGTCAGAGTTTTAGGAACAGAGTTGATTACCAGTCCCCCCACCCCCAGCTGCCGACAGGAGTCTGATGGAAAGGTCCCTGAGATGCTGAATGTTTCTTGGCAATTTTAAAGGTGGCCGTGCACAGTGTTTCATTGTATGAGGTGTCCAGGTGAAAGGACCTTTCTTTTTTTTTTTTTTGAGACGGAGCCTCAAGCTATCCCCCTGGGTAGAGTGCCATGGCATCACGCTCACAGCAATCTCCAACTCCTGGGCTCAAGCGAGTCTCCTGCCTCAGCCTCCCAAGTAGCTGGGACCACAGGCACCCACCACAACGCCTGGCCATTTTTTGGGTGCAGCCATCATTGTTGTTTGGCAGGCCCAGGCTGGGGATTCGAACCCGCCACCTTAGGTGTATGTGGCTGATGCCTTAGCCGCTTGAGCCATAGGTGCCGAGCCAAAAGGACCTTTCTTAAGTCACCCCGGAGACGGGGAGTGGTGTGTCTCCCTGTGCTTATGTGAGCTGTGAGTCTGACTCCTGCACACGGTGGCAGTGAACTCTTGCCCACGTAGGGTTTTGAAAATTCTTACCAGAACCACTTGTTTTCTGCCAACCTGGGGTCTCCCCAACATTCCCCACCATCCTTTCATGATGACGGTCCTTCTGTGTCCCAGGTGACCCTGCCGACACTGATTATACAGCTGTGGGATGTGCAATCACCACTATTTCTTCCAACCTGACGGAGATGTCCAAGGGCGTGAAGCTGTTGGCGGCCCTCATGGACGATGAGGTGGGCAGCGGGGAGGACTTGCTCAGAGCTGCAAGGACCCTCGCTGGGGCAGTGTCAGACTTGCTGAAAGCTGTGCAGCCTACATCTGGAGAGGTAAGCTCTGAGCAGTCTTTAAGGTTTTGACAAGACAGGTGTATGCTTTGGGGGGGGGGGGAACCACAGGGCTCTTGTTTCCTAAGCTGCTCCTTCCAAAGTGATGGGATATATTACTATTTGGAGTTGCTGAACTGGAACAGAGCCTGTTGTTCAACCTCTGGGATTAGTTAAATTCTCAGTATGAAGGTTGCTCCCTCAAGGGTTAGATTATCCCACTCCAGGAGCTTAACATTCACAACTGTACACATTGAAAGGGGATGTGAGGTTGCTCCCTAATTTCCATGTGGCACATATCACCTTCTTACCAGCTGAAAGAGGCTCACTCATTGGACCTTTCTAATCCAACTGCCCTTTGCTGGTTTGTGAGGCAGTGAGTGTTTCCTGGCACAGATTTCACCAGGACACTTATGTCTCCTCTCTGGCAGACAACCTCAGATTCTCATTTACAGAAAGGAGGCAGTCCCTTGAGATTCCTCTTCCAGCACTGCCATGTCTGATGACACTGGAGGAAATGCATTCCCTTTCCAATCAAGATGTGTGCTTTGTTCGCAGCCTCGACAAACAGTTTTGACCGCTGCGGGGAGCATCGGACAAGCCAGCGGGGATCTTCTGAGGCAGATCGGAGAGAATGAGACTGATGAACGGTTCCAGGTAAGATCCTTGCCGCTTCACGATCTCAGAAAGGGGTCTAAGTGATGGTCTAGCCTCGAGCAGAGAGAACATACTGGAAGACAAACCCAGTCCTCCTTGAGCTGTCAGGAATAAGATTGTGGTGGGTATCTTGAGAGTGAGGTCATTTTGTGTTAATTAAAATTTTTTTTTCTTACAGAAAGACTCATTCTGCTTACTTAGCATTTATTTAGCCCTTCTACTTATTTATCAGCATGCTGGACATTGTGTGAACACAGAAGTGGAGAAAATAGTATCGTGAACCCCCTTCCTGGCCAGTCTTATTCTTTCTATTTGGGGACGGTTTCGAATGACATTATTCTTGAGTCCACAGATGAGTGTGAAAACATATGCACTCTGTACACACGTACACGTTGTGTAGCTTGCTTTTGTTTTCAGAAGTGGGTCTGTTTTCTATGTCTTATCCAAAAAACCACAATAAAGAAGTCTTTTTTTTTTTTGAGACAGAGTCTCACTCTATTGCCCACGCTAGAGTGTGGTGGCATCAGCCTAGCTCACAGCAACCTCAAACTCCTAGGTTGAAGTGGTCCTCCTACTTTAGCCTCCCAAGTAGCTGGGACTACAGGTGCCCTCCATAACACCTGGCTAATTTTTCTATTTTTAGTGGGAATGAGATCTTGCCCTTGCTCAGGCTGGTCTTAAACCCCTGAGCTCAAGCAATCCACCCTCCGTGGCCTCCCAAATTGCTAGGATTACAGGCATGAGCCATTACCACGCCCAGCCTGAGACCCTTCTGTTCTACTACCAGGGACATAGGCTGTTTGTCCTCTTGTGAACAGCTGTTGTCACTGTTAGCAGCTGGCTTGGTGCATGGCCAACATCACGGCTCAGATGAGATTTCCACTTGTCTGTCTCCCAGTACCCCCAGGAGCAGGTGACAGGGTGGGGTTCAGGCCAAGCTGAACTTCTCTGCCCATGTACTCAGGGTCTGATGCCCTTTATCTTTCCTCTTAAGTCTCTAGTAGTAGTCTTTGCAAGTAGTAGAGGAATACATCTTAATTAAAATGTTGCAGTTCTACCCCAGGTTCCGTGGAAGATGCCCTTTTCCAAATCTGTCAAGTTCACTGTTTGGAAATTGTGCAGAATTTGATTGACTTTTAAAAAACTTCACTGGTTTAAATTTTCTTTTCAAAATTATCAATTGTTTATGTAGTCTACGAATATATAAACATTTTTTAGAAAAAGCACAAATTACAGACATACAAGAACTGATACTGGGCAGCATCTGTGGCCCAGTGGGTAGGGCGCCTGCCCCATGTACCGAGGGTAGCGGGTTTGAAACCAGCCCCAGTCAAACTGCAACAAAAATTGGCCGGGTGTTGTGGCAGGCACCTGTAGTCCCAGCTACTTGGGAGGCTGAGGCAAGAGAATCGTCTAAGCCCAGGAGTTAGAGCTTGCTGTGAGCTGTGATACCATGGCACTCTATCAAGAGCGATAAAGTGAGAGTCTGTCTCTAAAAAAAAAAAAGAACCAATACCACAAAGGTAACCAAACCCATAAAATAACATCATGTTGCTTATAGCTACCTGACACCCCTAAGTAGCTTTCCCCCCACGTTCTTGGCTGTACCCTCTTTGACCACCTCTTCATTTGGCAATGCTTCTGCAATATTTATTAGAGCAAAAGGATCACACAGCCTTCCTCTGGCATTCAGGTTACTCGCTTCCTAGGGGGCCACTTCCTCTACCATTTTATCCAGAACTACCAAACTTCATCAGCTCAGAATGGGTCAGATATGCCAAGATGTCACCATCTGTGTTGGGAGACATGAAACTTGCCACCTTCACCCATAGGTATATGGTGTCCCTTCACTCTCCACATACCCGTAGTGCTAGGACCTCAGGATTCACCATTTCCTGCAATGCAATTGGGTGTTCATTGAACAAACCTTCATGCCACAGTGGAGGGTGGCTCTCTATCAAGGGTGGAGGGAGTATTCCTGGAAGCCATTTCTACACTGAGATGGCCAGTAATAATTTCACTATGAACCGACTGTACCAAAGACGACATAAACATATCCTGCTAAGCCCAAGCTAATTGTGTATCCATCTGACTTATCCCTGCCAGATCCCCAAACTGCCCTTGCAAATTGGCCTTTAGTTTTTGTATCAGGGCAGGTAATTCTTTTAGGTAGGTGCTTCCTTAAGAGTTTGGTAAATATGAGATTCAGCTGCTGTTTTACTAGACTTGATTCACTTGAAGCGGTCAGTTTACTTTTCTCCAAAAATACTACTTCTCAAAATGATAAGGAAGATTAAAGAGAAAGTCTCAATTCTGCCTTAAGACATCTCTTGCATCTTTGAGTGTTTAAAAGATGTACCATTTTGGGCGGCTCCTCTGGCTCAAAGGAGTGGGGTACTGGCCCCATATACCGGAGGAGGCGGGTTCATACCCGGCCCTGGCCAAAAACTGCAAAAAAAAAAAAAAAAAAAATCATTTACCTTTTTTAATATGACATTGTTTTCATTGCATATGAGTGAAAATTCTTTTCCTCATGTGTGTTTCTATTCAGACATCTAGAGAAGTAGGTTCAGGTTCAAGGGAAGAGTCCTGTGGAATGTTTGTTACCAGTCAGAAGCCTGAGTTGAATGTTTGTGTTTGTGTGGGGTGTCTGGGTAAAGACAAGAGCAGAAAGGTAATCTTGCAACCTCCTCCAGTTATGGGATAGCTTCTGACTTGCTGACCTTGGATTTCTAATTCTATTTTTCTGATTTTTGAGATCCTATCCCTGAGCTCTTCTTGGGTTCTTAATGGACTGCGTGTTCCCAGAGTTGACAAAGATTTATTTTCCACGGGCTACATAATAGCAGTCTTGTTGAAATTTTTGACAAAGGCCTTGTCAGCAACTATAGCTGTAGTATCACGTTCTTTTTCTAACTATTTTTTTTGGACAAAATTAATAGGAGGAACAGGATTTCTTTAAACAATTCCAACAAAGCCCTTTAGAACAATCATGATTCTATGTGACCACATCCTGGTCCCCATGAGAAAAGATGAATTCATATCAAGTGAAGGAATACTGTGACCTACTTTGGGAAGTTATTTTTAAAAATCTTTTAAATAATTTGTGACATTCAAGCTGTGTTTTCACCGAGCATGGAGATAGTTATCCAAGAACTATAGTTGTGCCATTTTAGAAGCAGCTCCTTCAAGCTGTGTGCCAGACAGGTGCCAATCAGATCCCAAAGGTATCTTCAACTTTTAGCACTGCAGGCTTTAGGTTTTCCCTTGGACATCCAGGAAACATGACCTAAGAGAAGACTGGGCTACCCTATTCCTTTAAGACAGCTTAGCTTTCGTCCATTTGAAAATGAACTTGCTTGTTGGAATCATGGGTCTCTGGTTTGCCTAGATTAAACATAGGCTTTGCTCTGTGTAAAATCACACAGGCTTGAATATTCTTTGCAATATGTCTTCTCATAAAATACCTCATTGTAAAGACTCTGTGGGCGCCCTTTGCATTTAGAATCAAAAGTGCTTTTTATTTTCTTATGAATTAATAAAGACTTCTGACCACATTTCCTCTGGGGGAAAAAACCTTGACATGTTTGTTCAAAATAAAAATGGCTCTTATGTTTGGGATGGCTTTCCCAAATCAAATAAACTACTTTCAGTCTTAAAAGCAAAGAAGTGAATTAAATGCAGCAGTGGTTATTCTTCAGGTCAGACCGATGGGTGAAAAATCTGGTCGACTGTATCAAAGCGTTCTTCATTCTGCAGGCAGAATGCCTTTTCTTTGAATTGCAGCATAAACTGATCTTTAAAGGCTCCAAGTTCCTCGTATCTTCAGTCAGACCGTCTTGTGGCTAGTTTATTTATGTAGGCTCTCTTTCCGCTTTCCATAATAATTTAATTCTTATCCAGACGGCTGCAGAGCACTCAGAATAACTCATGTTCAGAGCACTCCTTGGCTCCTGAGCTGGAGGTGTGGGTGCCAGCTGTGTCTGTGCATGTCCAACGTTGCCCTCTGCAGGTGGAGATGTGGCTGAATTTCTGAGGATAACTTGGATCTCTGTGCAAAGTAGAAATCCAAAAGATAAATTTGAGAGTTGCAGTGGGGCACGATGTCTTGGAGGCCTTGAATTATAACCTTCCTAGAGCACATGATATTTGTGGCATCTGGGTACATTTTCGGTTTCTCTTGATCCACCACATCAACCACGTATTCAGGAGGCATCGCCACGACTCTGTGTTGGATAAGTGCATGAATGTCAATCAGTGGTTAAAATAAAAACCCTTCCCTCCAGCTAAACCATTTTAGATTTAAACCTATGCTACTTAATGGATGTATTATAGCCTGAGTTATGAGGATGCAAGTCTCCTTCCTTCATTACCTCTGAGGCTAAGCTGACTCTTCAAAAAACAAGTGAAAAACATTCTGAAGTGCGAAAGGAAAAAGATCAAATGGAATGTTAAGAAAAGGATCAGGCGGACGTTCCATTTGATTGTCAGGCTGTGAAGGGTGATTAGAAGAAGGTAAATGAATAGCCTTTGGTTCATTTTTCCTAGGATGTCTTAATGAGTTTGGCCAAAGCTGTGGCCAATGCTGCCGCCATGTTGGTCCTGAAGGCGAAGAATGTCGCCCAAGTGGCCGAAGACACGGTCCTCCAGAACAGGGTGATCGCCGCTGCCACCCAGTGTGCCCTTTCCACTTCCCAGCTGGTGGCGTGTGCCAAGGTAAGCCAGTTGGTGCCCCAGCCCTTTCCACACGGTGTCCCATGCCCTCATCTGCCCTCCAGGCTTTGGGGAGGAGCAGGGGAGGAGAATTTGTTCAAATTGTCTGAGATTTAGACTTTGCGTCAGAGGTCTTTAGCATAAGTATCTAATTCTGCTTTTATGGTTCTGTGCTCAAATGCTCCAGCAGCAGGTACTTTTTGCCAGTCCATTTCTATATGTAGATTGCTGTCTAATCTTGGGACATCTCAGTGTGTCTTGTTTACACCTGCACAATGGGAGGTCTTGCACCGTGTGGTCGGTCATCACAGTGGGGCTCAGAAGAAATCTGCAGAGTTCGTGGGCACCCTTTCTATACTACAGCAATTTCTGAGTGAGGATGTTAGTTGTTGCCAAGGTGTACGCATCTATGTGTCACATATCACCTCATATAATCTCCCCCAGCCATCCTGCAAATGAAGCACCACTAGTTTACTTGTAAGGAAGCTTGGTCCTTAATGTTGTAAGTACCTTAAGGCCACAGATGCGTAAATGGCAGAATGGGGCTGTAATAGGTCTGTTGGTCACCAGGTAGCCCTTCCCCTCCATCACATGCGTCTTCTCAGTGATGATATGCCAGAAGATGGGAAATGTCCACTCTGGCCTTGGTGACGTATCCTGCTGTGCAGATCTGTGACCTGGCTCAGCCTGGCATTGACATCCCATGGGTGATTTGCAGCGTCAGTTATAGGTGTGCTCAGCGAGGTCTCCTTCCTGCTTTCCTTGTCAAACCTGATCCACAAACAACTAATAGAATCTCCCTGTTCTGTTAGGACCATGAGGCAGAGTTCCAGGTATCTCTGAAAAGAAAAGAAACAATATTTCTTTTAAGTAGTCTACTTATCCTAACTCAGAAGACTCAATTCCGAAGATCCTAAAGGAAGGAGATTTAATTCATAAATATCAGAAATTTCTCTCAATGGAAGTAGGTCAATGTTATGAGATTGTCATGTATCACGAAGATGTAAATTAGTAGGACATCTAAAATCACAAAATGAAGTAAAATGGTAAAATGTGAGAAAGCTCATAATCATTTAGCTGAATCTCTGGGTTGTGAGTCAGGAACTGAAACCCAGAGCAAGAAGGGACTTGTGGGGACTACAGAGGCCCACTGTGGCACCAGGAGTCATCTGTGATGCCCAAGACCCGCTCCTGTCTCACTTCAGGTTGTGAGCCCCACCATCAGCTCCCCCGTGTGCCAGGAGCAGCTGATTGAAGCAGGAAAGCTGGTGGATCGCTCGGTGGAGAACTGCGTCCGTGCCTGCCAGGCGGCCACCACTGACGGCGAGCTCCTAAAGCAGGTCAGCGCGGCGGCCAGCGTGGTCAGCCAGGCCCTGCACGACCTCCTGCAGCACGTGCGCCAGTTTGCCAGCCGAGGCGAGCCCATCGGCCGCTACGACCAGGCCACAGACACCATCATGTGTGTCACTGAGAGCATCTTCAGCTCCATGGGCGATGCTGGTGAGGCTCGGGGCTGTGGGTGTGGGGTTCCCTGATGGGACAGTCACTGTTAGGGAGGGTGACGGTTGCCTGCAGGCCTGGTAGGGACAGACTCTGGACGGCCTCAGCCACGGCTTCTTTGCTGAGGATCTTTCATAGCCTTGCTTAAAGTTAACCAGGTTTTTATGATGATTCACATTTAAGGCCTGTCCTTTTTGCTCTGAGAAGGCACGTGTTGAATATGATGTGAAGTTGGAGCAACCACAAGAGGAAACAGGAATGGGGATTGGAATGAAGTTTATCATGGTCATAGGTCTCCTGGAGGGGGTCCCCACAGGCTGTGCGGGGTCACAGGGGAACACACCAGGGTGGTCAGGACGCAGAAGCCAGGGGAGGACCCAGACCACAGCCTTTATTGGTGCTTCCTTGGGAAATGCAAAGCAGGGCAGAGTGAGTGATTCGGGATTGGCTAGCTTACAGAATGTTGGCAGGCTCTAAGTTAGAGAGATAGCGGCTCATTGCCTGGTCCTCTAGGCAGAGGAATCTTGCCTCTTGGGTCTCTGGGCCAGACAGAAGGGGGAGGCTCTGGACTGGTTAGTTTGCACATCAAAGGCATTGTCCCTTTGCACTGTCTAAGAGCTGGCTACCTCTGGATGGGGCAGGCTCTCCCTAGCAGAAAGGTATTATAAGATATCAAGACATCAGACATAATATACAGTAAATCTAAAAATAAGTAGCTTTTCAGTCCTTTGAAAAGTATGTCTCCCTAGACCTAGCCCACTGCCTGGCCGTCAAATCCCAAGAATTGACTAGTTAGCAATTTCTGGGGTTTTTTTTCCAGAATTCTTTGATCTACCTACCACTGTGTGTATGTATGTATGAGAGACAGCCTCTTTTTTAATACATATAAATGGAATTGTATTATATATACTATTATATTTTGCAATCTTTTTCATTTAATATATATCTTACAGACTTTTTTCATATCTGCCCATATACTGATCTTTATAATAGCAGCATGATATTCTATTGTTGGCCATATTATAATTTAACCAGTTATCTTTTAATGGACATTTAAGTGATTCCCAAGTTTTCCTGTTTGTTTGCTTTTATAAAAATGATAGTACAATAAGCATTTCCATAAAAATAGTTTACGGGGGGGGGGGGTGTATATAAGATAAATGCCAGTCAGTGGAATAGGTTATGTCGATTTTTGATTTTAAACTTGTCTTTGAAGTTTCTCTCCACAAAGGACTCACAGTTTATAAACGTACCAGAAGTTTGGAAGAGGTCTGTTTTCCTAGTCCCTCCCAGCATAGAACAATACCTTGTAGCAAGTATTCTGTTTTAGAAAATTATCTTGTGCTTTTTTATATTCCTAGCTTATTAAATAAGCTACCCTCATTGGGGTTTTTTGGTTGGCTCTTTTTTGTGTGTGTTAAACAATCTTTTTATTTTGAAATACTTTTAGATGTAAGCAAAAGTGACTGAAGAAATACGGCCACTTTCTCAGCGTCCCTCATTCGGACACCTTCCCTAAAGCAGACTTTTCATCAGAATGAGCCACTGGCACCTTGCTGCCAACCAAACCGCAAATGTTATTTGGATTTCATCAGTTTTTCCCTTATGTCCTTTCACCGTCCCAGGATCCAGTCCCTAAGACCTCACTGAATTTTGTACATTTTTATTTTTATAAAAGCTTTTTCCTTCGCCCTTAGTGTCATAGTTCTTTAGCATTCTTCTCAAACAACCTTTGGGAGAAGAAGAAATCCTTTGCCTTTGAGTTATTTGTATTTTTAATGGTGATTATCCTCCAAAAGGAACTTGAAATAGATTTCAGTAAAATCATAGGCATAAGTAAGACAAAAAAATAATAATACAAGAAAGTGAGCAGAGAGAAAATTGGCAGAGAAAACCCTGGGCCAAGACACGTCTTAGCATTTGAACGTGAAGGTGGGGTCTGAGCTTCCTATTAATGAGGGCCAAATGGCACAGATATAGTGGATTATGTGATATCCTTCATGTGGTATTAAGTAGCGTGGAAATTAATCCAAAATGTTAAGAGTAATTCCATTCTTTGCCCATTCCTTAAAGAGTATATCATAGAGGCTTTTGTGTAAGTGATTCTCGGAGTGAGATGAATGATGTTTTCTAAATAAGAATTACTGGCTCAGTGCCCATAGCACAGTGGTGACAGCACCAGGCACATACACCGAGGGTGGCAGATTCGAACCTAGCCCAGGCCAACTAAACAAATGCAACAATAAAAAGCTGGGCGTTGTGATGGGCACCTATAGTCCCAGCTATTTGGGAGGCTAAGGCAAGAGAATCACTTAAGCCCAAGAGTTGGAGGTTGCTGTGAGCTGTGATGCCATGGCACTCTACCAAGGGTAACATAATGAGACTCTGTC